ATGTGGCATTCTTTTTTACAAGCTCAAAACTTGTGTTAAAAATGCCTTAATAGATGCAAAGCTTTCCTTTGAGGACATAGATTAAGTGAAAATGCCGTTCAAGAACTTGTCAAGAAGTTGACTCATGTATGACCTAATGTTACGGTTGAACCACTTGAAATAGTTGATATTGGAGATATACTTAAAGTACGTATGTTACTGTCTCTATGGATTATCTAAAAGGCATAAGACGTGAAGGTCAAACCTCAATCTTTACAAGCCTAGACGTGGAGGTCAAGCCTCAATCGCCTCCCATTTTCCTAAAATCGCGAAACCTTAAAGGAGTCTACTTGACATCTATCGCCATGAGAACTTTAGTCCTCTCCAGGCATTTTCAAACCGTGTGGACGTCTTCTATCAAAAGAATACATTCCAGTACACACGACAAGTCAAAATCATGTTTCGTATTGAATGTTACTCGTGTTTTGGAAAGAAGCACCGAGTAAGAGATGACGGCTGTATAGAGAGAGAAAAATGGGATTAGAAAATAACTAGGGTTTGGTAGGATAGATGATAGTGGGGTGGATATGTAAAATAATTTTTATAATATTATTATTAATATTTACAATTTTAATTATATTTGATTTTTGAAAGAAAAATTTATAACTCTTAAATATGAACTGAGATCTTGAAAACACTTAGTCCATGTAACTTCCACTTTTATTTATTTTTGTTTTCTAAGGCCCCTCAAAATTATGAGACCAAAGGCAATGGCCTAGTTTGCCTTGAGCCAAGGCCGGCCATGTGGAGATCTAACTAAAGATTTTTGGAGCTTGATTGCAAGATGCATTTTTTACCCTTATATAGACATTTCTTTCACATTAAGTTTTGCAACAACGATGTGTAGACACTGTTCGACAAATAAATTTTTACACAATCGTCAAATATAATTACAAAGGTTGAACATGGATATATGAAAATGTCCAAGTCATACGATATTAAAAAATAAGATCTAAAAGAATCAATCTCAAATAAAAGTAGAGTTACAGAAAATTAAAGGATTGAACACAAGATTTATTTCGGCATAAACCCCGAAAATTCGACGACCAAATCTAACGCCTACATCCGCTGTTGAGCATCCAAAAATGGATATACGTTTGATTGCACTAACAAACCCAAAATGACAACAATATTACAAATCGTTCTTCAAATATAAGAGAAAGGCACAAAAGCACTTATCTCTAAACACCAAACTGTAGATCGAACGAAGAACTCACAAAAGATAACCTTCAACAGCCTATTGCACTACAAGACTGCAAGACCCTTTATTCTCACAATTATCATAAAGACAACAGATTATAGAGGCTTAATCGCTAATAGATCTCAGTTTACAGGTTCACCATAAGGGATGAAGAACACGAAGATCTCAAACCCTAGTTTACAAGAAAAGTGAAAGACTCTCAGAAAAACCTAAAAGAACGAGGCAGCTCAAAAGCCAGAGACGAAGTGAATAAAATAGCTGTCAAAGTGGTAAATATATCACACACCAACAAACCACGGATCTAGAGCCAACAAATGACCAAGTGTCACCATCAGAAGA